ACTGGATGGATTAGCAGAGAAAGTACAAAAGAATGGGAGAGGCTAGGGGAGGAGATCTGAAACCCTTGGTGACCAGAAAGGGCAGATCGCCTCTCAGCTGAAGCCTCTTCTGTCCTCCTTCACGGCAGTGCCCTGAAAGAACTTGTGGAGATGTAGGGTCAGTGACTCAGACAAGTTGAACATAATTCCGTTACTTTTTCAGTCCAGCCTGCTTTCCTGAGGCTGCCTGTAAAAACGGAGATTCTGCAGTCAGCCTGAAGTGGCCGTGACCACTGTGACGCTCTGACAAGCTGGGAATTGTTGCCACACTACAATTTCACCTCTTTAAACTCACCGATTTTCCTTGTTTATCAGGCTGCTTCCTTGTAAACATTCTCCTTGGCAACACCATTCCAAGCTTGGAGTTGCTTCTTATTTAATTTTTTTCAGTCTTCTACATGGAAGCCTTTGCTGGAAACACATCCTTCTGTGTGGCAGCAGAAAAACTTTGGCAGGCATGGTGATGTAGCTCAGGATGAGAATCAGGCCCCAACGCGCTGTGAACAACCAACTCTTAGTTCACACCTCAGAACAGCTGTGAGCCAATTAATCCCCAGCACTGCACTGCCACAGGATCATCCATCCAACCTTTGTCTCTGCCTCCAATTCACAAATAAACTGAGGTGCAGCTTCCAAGAGGTTCCCTCGAGGACAGCACCCTGAACCTGCACCTGGCAGCAGCCGAGGGCAGTGCCCGCTCTCAGTGCTGCCAAGCCACGGTGCCCAGGCTGGGCAGCCACAGCTGCTCTCTGCCACCCCAGGGACAGTCCCTGCTGGCCTCACAGTGCTGCCCACAGGCACTGGCAGGGCAAGGCAGCCAGAAGGGCTTGGTGCTCCCTCCTGCCACGCAGCAGATGCTCGGGGTAGACAAGACTCACCACCCTGGCTACAGTCCCGGAGCTGGTGCTGAGTAGGACAAGGCATCCAAGAGAACCAGGGCTGGAGATTCAACCCAGTATTTCCACTCCTGCTGCCAGCTTCACC